ACAGGAAGTATGCTGCCCTTGTCGCTGCAGCTTGCCCAGAATGACCAGTTAGCTGTGTAACCTGGTCAGGCCCCAGAACTACAACCACCACTGGCTACTCTGCCTCCTCCCTGTTAAGACACACTCATGTCCTGGTCGCCTCAATGACTTTGAATCAACGTCACACACTTCGTTTCAGTGGGTCAAAGAGGGGAAAGGTTAGAGCTGTACATATACACTACTAGAGTAGCTGACTGTTGTATGACAGGTTTCTTTCCTGTAACTAGGTTACGCTACTGTGTGTTTATGTCGTGAAAGGTTTGTTATTATATTTTGCATAATTGCCATTGTTGATATGCTGTGAGTGTGTGAATGAGATTTAAACATGAACACACATTGAAAAGCTAGTTGGCTTCTGCTATTCAAGCAGACCAGAGGCATGACAGTGCCACTCATAGTCCTAGTTATACCAAGAGCCTTATGAAACCTTAAAGACAGAATAACACAATACAACATGAACAAGGGAAACGTATATGCAGGAAAAGAGTGTAATTATGTTGGCCATATTGGATTCAGAATAAAATACACTACCAGTCAAAAGTTTGGACACACCTACTAATTCAAGGGTTTTTCTTTATTTGTACTATTTTTTACATTGTAGAATAGTAATGAAGACATCAAAACTATGAAATAACACATATGGAATCATGTAGTAACCAAAAGATACAGAAGATAGCCCTATTTGGTAAAAGACCAAGTCCATATTATGGCAAGAACAGCTCAAATAAGCATAGAGAAATGACAGTCCATCATTACTTTAAGACATGAAGGTCAGTCAATACGGAACAGTTCAAGAACTTTGAAAGGTTCTTCAAGTGCAGTCGCAAAAACCATAAAGCGCTATGATGAAACTGGCTCTCATGAGGACCACTACAGGAATGGAAGACCCAGAGTTACCTCTGCTGCAGAGGATACAGTCAGGGAAAAAGTATTTGATCCCCTGATGATTTTGTACGTTTGCCCACTGACAAAGACATGATCAGTCTATAATTTTAATGGTAGGTTTATTTGAACAGTGGGAGACAGAAAAACAACAACAAAATCCAGAAAAATGCATGTCAAAAATGTTATAAATTCATTTGCATTTTAATGAGGGAAATAAGTATTTGAACCCCTCTGCAAAACATGACTTAGTACTTGGTGGCAAAACCCTTATTGGCAATCACAGAGGTCAGATGTTTCTTGTAGTTGGACACCAGGTTTGCACACATCTCAGGAGGGATTTTGTCCCACTCCTCTTTGCAGATCTTCTCCAAGTTATTAAGGTTTCGAGGCTGGCGTTTGGCAACTCGAACCTTCAGCTCCCTCCACAGATTTTCTATGGGATTAAGGTCTGGAGACTGGCTAGGCCACTCCAGGACCTTAATGTGCTTCTTCTTGAGCCACTCCTTTGTTGCCTTGGCCATGTGTTTTAGGTCATTGTCATTCTGGAATACTCATCCACGACCCATTTTCAATGCCCTGGCTGAGGGAAGGAGGTTCTCACCCAAGATTTGACGGTACATGGCCCCGTGCATCGTCCCTTTGATGCGGTGAAGTTGTCCTGTCCCCTTAGCAGAAAAAACACCCCCAAAGCATAATGTTTCCACCTCCATGTTTGATGGTGGGGATGGTGTTCTTGGGGTCATAGGCAGCATTCCTCCTCCTCCAAACACGGCGAGTTGAGTTGATGGCAAAGAGCTCGATTTTGGTCTCATCTGACCACAACACTTTCACCCAGTTCTCCTCTGAATCATTCAGATGTTCATTGGCAAACTTCAGACAGGCTGTATATGTGCTTTCTTGAGCAGGGGGACCTTGCGGGCGCTGCAGGATTTCAGTCCTTCATGGCGTAGTGTGTTACCAATTGTTTTCTTGGTGACTATGTTCCCAGCTGGCTTGAGATCATTGACAAGATCCTCCCGTGTAGTTCTGGGCTGATTCCTCACTGTTCTCATGATCATTGCAACTCCACGAGGTGAGATCTTGCATGGAGCACTAGGCCGAGGGAGATTTACAGGTCTTTTTTGTTTCTTCCATTTGCGAATAATCGCACCAACTGTTGTCACCTTCTCACCAAGCTGCTTGGCGATGGTCTTGTAGCCCATTCCAGCCTTGTGTAGGTCTACAATCTTGTCCCTGACATCCTTGGAGAGCTCTTTGGTCTTGGCCATGGTGGAGAGTTAGGAATCTGATTGATTGATTGCTTCTGTGGACATGTGTCTTTTATACAGGTAACAAGCTGAGATTAGGAGCACTCCATTTAAGAGTGTGCTCCTAATCTCAGCTCGTTACCTGTATAAAAGACACCTGGGAGCCAGAAATCTTTCTGATTAAGAGGGGGTCAAATACTTATTTCCCTCATTAAAATGCTAATCAATTTATATAAATTTTGACATGCGTTTTTCTGGATTCTTTTGTTGTTATTCTGTCTCTCACTGTTCAAATAAACCTACCATTAAAATGATAGACTGATCATGTCTTTGTCAGTGGGCAAATGTACAAAATCAGCAGGGGATCAAATACTTTTTTCCCTCACTGTAAGTTCATTAGAGTTACCAGCCTCAGAAATTGCAGCCCAAATAAATGCTTCACAGAGTTCAAGTCACAGACACATCTCAACATCAACTGTTCAGAGGGGACTGTGTGAATCAGGCCTTCATGGTCAAATTGCTGCAAAGAAACCACTACTAAAGGACACCAATAAGAAGAAGAGACCTGCATGGGCCAAGAAACACAAGCAATGGACATTAGACCGGTGGAAATGTGTCCTTTGGTCTGGAGTCCAAATCAGAGATTTTTGGTTCAAACTGCCGTGTCTATGTGAGACGCGGTGTGGGTGAACGGATTATCTCCGCATGTGTAGTTACCACCGTATGTCACGATCGTCAAACACAGTGGACCAATGCGCAGCGTGATGAGTGAACATACTTATTTATTAATTCACCACAACGAACAAAACAACAAAACGATACGTGAAGTCCTTAGTAACAGACACAAACCATACACGGAACAAGATCCCACAACACACTGTGGAAAACAGGCTGCCTAAGTATGGTTCCCAATCAGAGACAACAAGCAACAGCTGATTCACGTTGCCTCTGATTGAGAACCACACCGGCCAACATAGAAACAAATGAACTAGATAATAAACCTAGCACACAAAACACATAGAAACAACACACCCTGGCTCAACATAACAGAGTCCCAGAGCCAGGGCGTGACACCGTAAAGCATGGAGAATGAGGTGTTATGATGTGGGGGTGCTTTGCCTGTGACACTGTCTGTGATTTATTTAGAATTCAAGGCACACTTAACCAGCATGGCTACCACAGCATTCTGCAGCGATACGCAATCCCATCTGGTTTGGGCATAGTGGGACTATCATTTGTTTTTCAACAGGACAATGACCCAACACACCTCCAGGCTGTGTAAGGGCTATTTTACCAAGAAGGAGAGTGATGGAGTGCTGCATCAGATGACCTGGCCTCCATAATCCCCCGACCTCAATCCAATTGAGATGGTTTGGGATGAGTCAAACGGCAGAGTGAAGGAGCCAACAAGTGCTCAGCATATGTGGGAATTCCAGGTGAAGCTGGTTGAGAGAATGCCAAGTGTGTGCAAAGCTGTCATAAAGGCAAAGGGTGGCTATTTGAAGAATCTCAAATACAAATATATTTTGATTTGTTTAACACTTTTGTGGTTACTACATGATTCCATATGTGTTATTTCATTACATTTACATTTTACATTTTGGTCATTTAGCAGACGCTCTTATCCAGAGCGACTTACAGTTAGTGAATGCATACATGTTTTTTTTATACTGGCCCCCCGTGGCAAACGAACCCACATCCCTGCCGGCCAAACCCTCCCCTACCTCGGACGACGCTGGACCAATTGTGCGCCGCCCATGGGTCTCCCGGTCGTGGCCGGCTGCGACAGAGCCTGGACTCGAACCAGGATCTCTAGTGGCACAGCTAGCACTGCGATGCAGTGCCTTAGACCACTGCGCCACTCGGGAGTCATTACACACAGAGAGCCATGTATTTAGAGAGTCGGGACATTGAGGTTCCTGCATTATGATGATTTACATGACACTAGAAAATATGGCAGCCATGATAGCACCCCATTAACATTACATGGCAGTCTTACGTCAGATAGAGCGACGATTCCGCCTGCACTGGTCCCTGTTGAGGGACGAGCGTCGCGTAGGAGTGACGCCACCTTTCTTGTTACTGCTCTAATTAAGTTGGTAACTAGTTTAGAATAGCAATAAGGCACCTCGGGGGTTTGTGGTATATGGACAATATACCACAGCCAAGGGCTGTATCCAGGCACTCTGCGTTGCGCATAAGAACAGTCCTTATCCGTGGTATATTGGCCATATACCACACCCCCTCCGGCCTTACTGCTTAATTTTGTTCTGGTCCCCCGACTATCCGCTCAAGAAAAAAATTTATCGGCCCACGGCTGAATCTAGTGGATGATCCCTGGGCTACAACCACTAACCCTAACCTTGGGAGGATTGGCCACATTTGTAGAGTGGTGGTATGAAGACACTGCTGGCCAATCAAATCAAAGAGCAGTTTGTGGTAGTAGCTTATAGAGTGGACCGTGTTACATCTCCCCTTCATAGTCCTGTGCATAGCAGAACACACACCAGGGTTGGGCTCAATTCAGTTTGTTTTCTATTGAATTGTAATTCACTTCCTGAATTGAAAACTGAATTGACCCCAACACGCACAGTTCTGCACTTCATTGTATGCCTGATACATTGTTCAAACAAGGCTACCAAAATAAACAAGCACTAACATCTGTATTCTGTCACTTTTTTTTTACAAAAAATAAAGTTGATCTGCAAACGAAGACAAATGAAATACTGTATATCCTTTCCATTGTCCGGATTGGACGAGAGGATGGTGGAGGTGGAGCCAAACCAGGTGTGTCTTGATGTCCAAACGTGTACACTACTTAGTACAAAGTTATGTATTCACTAGTGTGTATAATAGGCCAGGAAATCAAATAAATTATTGTCCTAGGCATCGGAGTGAAACGCTCCATCTCAAATGTCACCCTATTCTCCATATAGTGCACTTCTTTTGAATTTGGATTTCAACTCCATGACTGAATTGCCCCGGAATTGAGGGTTAGAATTCATCGTGTCTTGCCAAAGCTTCTCCAAAGTCAGTAGCCTGGCTGCCAACGAAGAGGTCATACTTTTCTACGATCTCTGCCTTGGTCAGACGGCCATCCTTGTCATTATCTGACTCGTAGAGCAGGTGTTTGGCTTCAGCCTCTGCGTGGTCGTAGTCTGAGGGGAGGATCCAGTCTCTGGTCTCCTCCTTGTCCATGAGGCCATCTTTGTTTTTGTCTCTGAACTCAGTAAACTGTTCTCTCTCTGTCTTCACCCACTCTGGCTCTGAAGGATCACCCTCCTGGTTATACATGTCTCCTATGTACTCCTCCAGATCTATGAAGCCGTCTCCGTTTTTATCAATGTCCTCCATGGTCTCCAGTACAACTATATCCTTCATATGGTCGTACTCCTCAGGATGGAGGAAGGCTGTAAACTCCTCTTTACTGGCCTTCAGGTCCGCGTCCAGGTCGGCCATTTTGAATCTCCTCTCGTCGCGTGACATCATCTGTCTGTAGCTGAAGCCATCTTCTGGGTCTGAGTCATCCAGTATGTATCCGTACGTAGCATTCTTGTACTCCTCCCAGGACACCAGTCCATCTCCGTTAAGGTCGTGACCTTTCCACTGGCGGTCCACATCATCATAGATCCACCTCTTCTGACTGTGTTTGATCCACTTCTTCATCTCCTCTACTGACACATAGCCATTCCTGTCCTCATCTATACGCTCTACCAACATACCCAGTCTCTCCTTGCTCTCTTCAGGTGTGAGCTGATCAAAGGTCTTGGCCTCTTCCTGTCCAAGAAATGCTTCATGGTCATAATCAAAGTTATCTGCGTCATCATGGTTGCGGTTGCTAAGCTGGTCGTCATGGTGGACACGGTCCTTCTTCTCGATGGTGGGTTTACTGGAGGCATAGACCATGCACAGCGCAAACCACATGACCAACGGCCGCAGCTCCATACTCGGTCTTTCTGAAGTCTTTCGATCTTGACCGTCAACGTCTACTCAAGATACACACGCATCGCCGACGCCGTAGTAAAGTCGTTTCCTGTACTTGATGTCTTCACTACTATTCTGCAATGTAAAAAATAGTAAAAATAAAGAAAAACCCTTGAATGAGTAGGTGTGTCCAAACTTTTGACTGGTAGTGTATATTCACAACAAAACAGTCTTTATTGGCATGAGTGTCGTACATAAAAAAATGCTCCTCATCTACAAAATTCATATTTACACGTGATTTGACTTCCATTAAAGGGTATTATGGCAGCCTTATTGGATTTTGGAAGCAATATTGGATTTGAGGTAAATAAATAAATAAATAATTGGTCATTTAGCAGACGCTCTTATCCAGAGCGACTTACAGGAGCAATTAGGGTTAAGTGCCTTGCTCAAGGGCACATCGACAGATTTTTCACCTAGTCGGCTCAGGGATTAGAACCAGCGACCTTTCGGTGACTGGCACAACGCTCTTAACCACTAAGCTACCTGCCAGGCGCCTGCAGGTTGACCTCGGTCATCAGGTGAACGGTGTTTCCTCTGACACATTGGTGCGGCTGGCTTCTTGGTTAACCAGGCGGGTGTTAAGAAGCACGGTTTAGCATTTCAGAGGATGCGTGAATCGACTTTCGCCTCCCGAGCCTGTTGGGGAATTGCACCGAGGAGAAAAATAATAATATATCATGAACAGAGGAATGTGTGAATGACGTGTGTAGCATGACAGATAGTTGTTGCTAACGTGACTTGTTGCAATTAGGTGACCTCTATAATACCTAGACAGTAGCATAGTTTAAGACTGTAAGCATCATACTTCTTCTGGAAGATGTACAGAGTGTCATCACTGCTGACCAAACAGAAGTTAGCATTCCTAACATTACACAGTATTTCACAGACCTGCTGTAGCCTCACTTCTTCTGGCTCTATAGGCACTATCTGATCTCTATGTAGTTCAGACAGTAGGTAATGTCTTAGGGCCTCTCAGTAGCTTCCACACCACCATGTCCCATACCTCCCCTATCAGCATGGGTCATATATAGGGTCAGGAAGGGGATGCTGGATTTCCTTTGGTCTCCAACCAGACAGGAAGCCATTTTTCCCACCCTTGTGTGTGCGTGTGTGTGTGTGTGTGTCTGTGTGTGTGTGTGTGTGTGCGTGTGTGTGTGTGTGTGTGTGTGTGTGTGTGTGTGTGTGTGTGTGTGTGTGTGTGTGTGTGTGTGTGTGTGTGTGTAGCAGAGACCCGTGGCATCAGGGAGGGACAGGAAACTAACTCTGGACTAGAGGAAATCTGGTCATAGAAGAGTTAATGAGAAAACAGTGAGGGTGAACAACTGTCCCTCAACCTATCAGATCAGACCATGGACCCTACCTCCCTCAACCTATCAGATCAGACCATGGACCCGACTTCCCTCAACCTATCAGATCAGAGTACAATACAGGACTGGGAGGGAGTGGGCAGGCTTATGTGGGGGGCAGCAAACACACACACACACACACTTACACACACACATACTCTCACACACACCCACTCTAACACACACACACACACACATACACTCACTCACACAAACTGCTATGCCCTAAGGACATACCTGATTTAATCAGAGCTTTGCATTGACCTCCTATCAGGGGAATAGTCTCTAAAGCTCTAGAAGGTAACCCGTAGTGGCAGGAGGACTAGTCTCTAAAGCTCTTGAAGGTAACCCGTAGTGGCAGGGGGACTAGTCTCTAAAGCTCTAGAAGGTAACCCGTAGTGGCAGGAGGACTAGTCTCTAAAGCTCTAGAAGGTAACCCGTAGTGGCAGGGAGACTAGTCTCTGAAGCTCTAGAAGGTAACCCGTAGTGGCAGGGGGACCTGTCTCTGAAGCTCTAGAAGGTAACCCGTAGTGGCAGGGGGACTAGTCTCTAAAGCTCTAGAAGGTAACCCGTAGTGGCAGGGAGACTAGTCTCTGAAGCTCTAGAAGGTAACCCGTAGTGGCAGGGGGACTAGTCTCTGAAGCTCTAGAAGGTAACCCGTAGTGGCAGGGGGACTAGTCTCTAAAGCTCTAGAAGGTAACCCGTAGTGGCAGGAGGACTAGTCTCTAAAGCTCTAGAAGGTAACCTGTAGTAGCAGGGGGACTAGTCTCTGAAGCTCTAGAAGGTAACCCGTAGTGGCAGGAGGACTAGTCTCTAAAGCTCTAGAAGGTAACCTGTAGTGGCAGGGGGACCTGTCTCTGAAGCTCTAGAAGGTAACCTGTAGTGGCAGGGGGACTAGTCTCTAAAGCTCTAGAAGGTAACCCGTAGTGGCAGGGGGACTAGTCTCTGAAGCTCTAGAAGGTAACCCGTAGTGGCAGGGGGACTAGTCTCTGAAGCTCTAGAAGGTAACCCGTAGTGGCAGGGGGACTAGTCTCTGAAGCTCTAGAAGGTAACCCGTAGTGGCAGGGAGACTAGTCTCTAAAGCTCTAGAAGGTAACCCGTAGTGGCAGGGGGACTAGTCTCTAAAGCTCTAGAAGGTAACCCGTAGTGGCAGGGAGACTAGTCTCTAAAGCTCTAGAAGGTAACCCGTAGTGGCAGGGGGACTAGTCTCTGAAGCTCTAGAAGGTAACCCGTAGTGGCAGGGGGACTAGTCTCTGAAGCTCTAGAAGGTAACCCGTAGTGGCAGGGAGACTAGTCTCTAAAGCTCTAGAAGGTAACCTGTAGTGGCAGGGGGACTAGTCTCTAAAGCTCTAGAAGGTAACCCGTAGTGCCAGGGGGACTAGTCTCTAAAGCTCTAGAAGGTAACCCGTAGTGGCAGGAGGACTAGTCTCTAAAGCTCTAGAAGGTAACCCGTAGTGGCAGGGGGACCTGTCTCTGAAGCTCTAGAAGGTAACCCGTAGTGGCAGGGGGACCTGTCTCTGAAGCTCTAGAAGGTAACCCGTAGTGGCAGGGGGACTAGTCTCTAAAGCTCTAGAAGGTAACCTGTAGTGGCAGGGGGACTAGTCTCTAAAACTCTAGAAGGTAACCCGTAGTGGCAGGGGGACTAGCCTCTGAAGCTCTAGAAGGTAACCTGTAGTGGCAGGGAGACTAGTCTCTGAAGCTCTAGAAGGTAACCTGTAGTGGCAGGGGGACTAGTCTCTAAAGCTCTAGAAGGTAACCTGTAGTGGCAGGGGGACTAGTCTCTGAAGCTCTAGAAGGTAACCTGTAGTGGCAGGGAGACTAGTCTCTGAAGCTCTAGAAGGTAACCCGTAGTGGCAGGGGGACTAGTCTCTGAAGCTCTAGAAGGTAACCCGTAGTGGCAGGGGGACTAGTCTCTGAAGCTCTAGAAGGTAACCCGTAGTGGCAGGAGGACTAGTCTCTAAAGCTCTAGAAGGTAACCTGTAGTGGCAGGGGGACTAGTCTCTGAAGCTCTAGAAGGTAACCTGTAGTGGCAGGGGGACTAGTCTCTAAAGCTCTAGAAGGTAACCTGTAGTGGCAGGGAGACTAGTCTCTGAAGCTCTAGAAGGTAACCCGTAGTGGCAGGGGGACTAGTCTCTGAAGCTCTAGAAGGTAACCCGTAGTGGCAGGGGGACTAGTCTCTGAAGCTCTAGAAGGTAACCTGTAGTAGCAGGGGGACTAGTCTCTGAAGCTCTAGAAGGTAACCCGTAGTGGCAGGGGCACTAGTCTCTAAAGCTCTAGAAGGTAACCCGTAGTGGCAGTAACCTATTGGCAGTTCTAATGGAGTACATCCTGCGGACGGGCAGGGGAACAATCTGATTTATATCACATACATGCATATATTTGGTAACAGGCTGTCCATTGGAATCCAGTGGAATCCAGTGGAATCCAGTGGAATCTTGGTTACCATGTACTCTTCTAGGCTGTGTCCCAAAAGGCACCCTATTCCTTACATTGTGCTTTATGGGCCCTGGTCAAAATGTGTGCAATATGTAGGGAATAGGGTGCTATTTAGGATGCACACATCGTGTAAAGCACTGCATGGTTACTTATGTGATACTGAATGTTGCCAACAGGAACACACCCCAGATCAAACTGGAACTAAGCAATCACATTGTTGGCATATTTCATCAGGGACAGACTGAGGTCAGTAGGTTTGAGCGTGGCAGCTCGATTTTTCATGTAAAGTGACACCTGGAAGGAATAGTTGACAGGTGTGTGTTCAGTTCATTATCTGTCTGACACACACCTATACAGAAAGGTTGGCATATATGTGGAGAACACATGTAAAGGATAACTATATTGAACCATGTTTACAGTATGTTGTCATGGGAGATATGTCTATTGTTAAACCATAGACACCTAAGTATAGTGTGTAAGTGTGTCAGTTGGGAGGTTTGTCAGAGTCAATTCAAAACAACTAATTAGCTACATGCTACTGAAAACAATTATAATACCGAGGGAGATAGAAGCAGTTGTCAGTCAAGTTGCCGACTGACATCCACCCAGATGATGGCCTAGACTTTTTCCTGGTCAGAATAAATTAATAATACAAAAAAGAGAAAGAGGTAAAGGTGAGTGCAGTTACAGAGTTACAGAGTTACAAAGTGTTATGAAGGCTTTATAACTCCAAGGGGGCTACAGTAACACATCACCCACTTCTTAGAAACTACAGAAAGAGTAGAGGGTTATATTGAGGTGTTAATTAGCATTACATTTACATTTTAGTCATTTAGCAGACGCTCTTATCCAGAGCGACTTACAGTTAGTGAATACATTTTTTTTTTTAAATATACTGGCCCCCCGTGGGAATCGAACCCACAACCCTGGCATTGCAAATGCCATGCTCTATCAACTGAGCTACATCCCTGCCGGCCATTTCCTCCCCTACCCTGGACAACTTGTGCGCAGCCCATGAGTCTCCCAGTCGCGGCCGGCTGCGACAGAGCCTGGATTCGAACCAGGATCTCTAGTGGCACAGTTAGCACTGCGATGCGGCGCCTTACACCACTGTGCCACTGAGGTTGTCCCCGAGCACCATCAATCTGCCAGCCACCCACCCACACAGAGACACAC